CCGATAATGGGTGAAAAGGGTCTGGAAATGGTTGGAATAATGGTGAGCGAAAAGGGTCCCGTAACTGTGTGAAATAAGTCTGGCAACAGTTGGAATAATGGTGAATAAATGGATGAAAAGTGTCTGGCGATGGCTGGAATAATGATAAGCTAAAATGGTCCCGTAAACGGGTGAAAAGGGTCTGACAATAATGGGAAGTAGAGATTTCGAGCAACAAGCAAGAGACAAGTGTCCGTCAAATGGCGTGAGAAAAGGATTCGTCAATAAACAAGATAAAAGAGCCGTCAATAGGAAAAAGTATATAGTGTTCAATAAGCTTGAGAAAAGGTCCCATAATGAGTGAAAAAACGGTAATGACTGAGATAGATGAGTGACATTGTTAATAGTTAATAGTTGAAAATTTTAGTTAATATATGACATAGATATTAATAGTTAATAGTTGAAAGGTTGAAAGTTGGAAATCTTAGTTAATAGATGACATAGATATTAATAGTTAATAGTTGAAAGGTTGAAAGTTGAAAATCTTAGTTAATAGATGACATAGATATTAATAGTTAATAGTTGAAAGGTTGAACGTTGAAAATCTTAGTTAATAGTTGAAAATTGATAGTTAATAGTTGAAAAATAGATTTTAGTGAAATAGTGAAAGTTAATAGTGAACGTTGAAAATCTTAGTTAATAGTTGAATTATTATTAATAGTTGAAAATTGATAGTTAATATCTGAAAAATAGATATTAATAGTTAATAGTGAAAGTTGAAAATCTTAGTTAATAGATGACATAGATATTAATTAGAGTTCGAACCCGGGCCGGGCCCGGACCGGTTTTTTCCGGGCCCGGTGGCCCGGAACCGGGTATTTTTGAGAAAATCCGGTTTTTCCGGGCTAACCGGTTTTTCCGGTTTTAACCGGAAAAACCGGCCCGGGTGCGATTTTGAGTAAAAAAACCGGGTCCCGGGCCCGGTAATTTTTTGCCGGGCCCGGAGTCTTTTTGACGAAGTCAAAAAATGTAAGAAATATTGCTGTTTGGCCATCCAATTTTTCAAAATTTTCGCCTCCGGCGGTGAAAAAAGGAAGAAATCTGACCCCTTGGCCTTCCAAAATTCTCAAAATTTTCGCCTCCGGCGTAAAAAAGGAAGAAATCTTGCCCCTTGGAGTTCTAAAATTCTCGAAATTTTCGTCTCCATCGTAAAAAAAGGAAGAAATTTGGCCCTTTTCCTTCCTTTTCCTTCCAAAAAATTGGCCCTTTTCCTTCCAAAATTCACAAAATTTTTAAAAAAGGAAGAAAAATTAATGGGATTAAGAAGTATATCGATGACTTAATCCTCTGATACCCCTTAATATCCTTACGAATCTCATGAGTTCTCTATGAATCACTTCAAATTCATAATCTTATATATCCCTCCAACTCAGTGATATCACATGGAAGCTCCCAAATACTTCAAATCCCCTTATTTTCCCAGACTACCAATTATTTCAAAAATTGCGGACTGCGGATTGCGTAAAATTGCGTGTTTTTTTGATTTACGGACTGCGTATTGCGGTTCGGATTTTAAATTGAAAATTGCGGCTGCGGAAAATTTAGCACACCTGTGCTATTTATCCTTTAGCGCATCTATCCTTTGATTCATCTATCCCTTAATCGATCCTTTGTATGTTTTCCGATCCTTTGTATGTGTGATAATTTTTTTATGTTTTTAATAAATTTAGAAAAAAACCGGGTCCGGGCCCGGGTCTGAAAAAATCCGGTTTTTCCGGGCTAACCGGTTTTTCCGGTTTTATCCGGAAAAACCGGTCCGGGTGCGATTTTGAGAGAATAAAACCGGGTCCCGGGCCCGGCATTTTGAAAAGTTCGAACTCTAATATTAATAGTTAATAGTTGAAAGTTGAAAATCTTAGTTAATAGTTGAAAATTGATAGTTAATATTTGAAAAATAGATATTAATAATTAATAGTGAAAGTTAATAGTGAACGTTGAAAATCTTAGTTAATAGTTGAATTATTATTAATAGTTGAAAATTGATAGTTAATATTTGAAAAATAGATATTAATAGTTAATAGTGAAAGTTGAAAATCTTAGTTAATAGATGAAATAGATATTAATAGTTAATAGTTGAAAGGTTGAAAGTTGAAAATCTTAGTTAATAGTTGAAAATTGATAGTTAATAGTTGAAAAATAGATATTAGTGAAATAGTGAAAGTTAATAGTGAACGTTGATCTTTAGTTAATAGTTGAATTATTATTAATAGTTGAAAATTGAAAGTCTTAGTTAAAAGTTGAATCATTGTTAATAGTTAATAGTGCAAATTGATAGTTAATAGTAGACATAAATATTAATAGTTGGAAGTTGAAAGTCTTAGTTAATAGTTGAATTAGAGTTAATAGTTGACGACTGAGGTTTTAGGTTTTTAATTTAAGTTTATGTGATGTTTAGAATTTGGCTAGCGGAAGGGGCTCGCCCGAAGGGCGACCCCCTCCGCTAGTTTATTTGAAAAGAAAACAAGCTATCACTTTAGAAATTTAACCAACTCTTAACTCAAAATCTTTCAAAAAATTAATACGTTTTAATTATACTTGAATTAGTGAAACATGGTTGTCAAACTGAGTCTTATTCCCACTGCGTCAACTTTGTCATATAATTTTTGTGTTAAAACACAGGTTTTAGTTACTGTCTTTATTCCGTTAGTTTTACCATACTGTTTTGTCCTACATATTTAGAGATCATACTAACAGAATAACAGTAGAATAGAATAACGCGTTTATCCGAATAGTAAATACAAGAATAACGAAGGTGACGAAAGCAAATTTGACTTAGGTCATACATCGACCAAGACTTTTAAACCAAAATTTGATTTTTCGGTTAACACAAAATTATACATCCACTTTCCAAAAAAGTCATTTCAGATAATAAGAAAAATCTACATAAATTACGGGAAACTTATATATATATAGGGCTCGGATTTGTGCCATTAGTTTTTCGATATTATGATTTTGAAAGAGTTACATTTCAATATATTTCAATATTTTGCCAATTTTCCAGTTATTTAAATATTTGATTATATATTGATAAGATAAGTTATATATTGATATCATAAAAAAATAAAAAGAAACTAGATCAATATCTTTACCCTAAGCCGAGATCCTGGGACCTCGAAAATCAATGTAAGATGGAGTTTTTCAACTTTAAAAAATATTTTCGACCCCTTATGGATAGTATAAATTTTTATTTTGTGCTCTTTCGAAAGCCCTTAAAATTTGCTACAAGACAGCATTAATCTTATTTTACAGAAAAAATTTTAAAGAGAAAAATTTTTAAGACTCCCGAAATATTATCAAGGTATAATACACTATCACACCCTTTTTCTACGTTTCCAATTTTGCTTTCTCATTATTCCTTTAAAATTACTTTTCTTACAATTGATTATGAAAATAAATCTATCTATTTAATATTTATCTTGTTAATAATTAAACAATTTTGTTTCTCAAAGATATTACATATAGGTTATATTTTATATTGTTTTATAATTTGTTCACTAATTAAAAAAATTAAAGTTAGAAAATCATAATCATTTAAATACTAATTATTTGTTTCTTGTTCTGTTTGATTTTTATTTTTCTTCTTTATTCTTTGATGCTTCATGTAACAAGCTTTACATATATATTGTTCAGGTTTAGAATGACGGTACCATCTAGATGTTTTTGTTGCTCCGCAAGTAAAACATTTCCGATCATTTGTGATTCGCTGAAATATTTATATAAAAGGAGTTGAAACTAGTTCTCAGATAAAAATTTTTTAAAACTATTTTTCAAATATTCGACGAATTGATTTTATCCAAGGATGCTTCTAACTAGCTTGTTTTTTCAAAGTTTCATTTGCCTCAAATGGCAAAAGTAATGTTCTGGAAATATTTAGGAAAATACTGAAATCCTTATATATAAATAAGATCCCTAATAAGTTCATGTAAATATGCTCAAACATTACAACTACTCATATTTTTTTATAAAATCATTGTTCATTATAATATGAATAAATTTAAACCGTTTTAGTTTGATAAAAACTTCCTTCTGGTCTCATTTTGCCATCATATATTTTATACATGCGACATGTGATGCACAAATAATGTTCTTTTAGGTATCTATACCAATTTTTGGAAATTGTAATTCGACAATTGAAACATTTTCGTTTATTTTCTTCAATTATTTTTCCTATAATAATATACTTTATTTTTAGGTTTATAAACAAATTAAATATTAAAAAAATTTACTTATTTCACCACCAATGAAAATAATTCTACTTTTTAATTCTTCCGGATATTCAACTTTTTGTTTTTCTAAAACTTCAATTTTATATCCAATTAAATTTATTTCCATCCAATAACTTGATAAAAGTTTGTCTTTGTAATTTTCTATATTTTCTCCAATTAGGTTAAAATTATTTTCACAGTTGTACAATATTGAAGTTTCATAACAATTATTATTTTCATTAAAATTACTATTACGGAGTACCTCAAATTTTACACCAATTAGAGTCAAGATTATAAGTATTTTTTATATTTTTTGTAGTTTTTAGTATAAAATGTCCTTATTTTTCTGCTAAGTCCTTCTAAATTCCTCAAAATTTTCGCCTGCCGCGCTGAAAATGAAATATTTTGGCATGATGATATTTTAATTCAAAAAATCCGCTGGAAAGAAGAAAATGCGTTGAAAAGAGCTGATTCTCGAATCTTAAACATTGTTGTAAATTATATTCCAATCAAATAGGGAAATTTTATCAACTCAACGAAAATCAGCCATTTCATTTCCAACTTAACATTGATTTTTTGCATGACATTGCTTACAATTATCAAATGGACCAATGTTAATTTGATTTTTTCGTTATTTATTATTAATTAGGTACTATATTTTTTTATTTTAGTTTTTTAATATTTTTGCGTTATAAAATGTTATTTTTATTCCATTTTCTTATTTTTAAGGATGTTTTATTAATTTTTTCACATGGGGACTGAAATGTCACCAGAAAGCGGGACTGAAACAGCGCGACTTAAGCGGCGGGGACTGAATTGGCACGTGACTGAAATGGGCGGACTAAATTGGCGGGTATGAAACGGCAGAACTGATGTGTCCCCTACCGGAAATTTTATTAATAAAAATATACCATTTTTTCAAGCCCAGGCATAAAATTTTGAATTATTTCATTATAAGTAATTTCAATCAAAATTTTCTTTCTTAATTGATCAGAAGGAATATATTTTGATTCATCACCTATTTCAACTTCAAACATATTTTTTTCTAGATTTAACTCAATTGAACGCAAATATCCTTCTATATTTTTATTAAAACTATCGTGTTGATTATTTTGTTTATCAATTACTTTCACAACGAAACGCTTTTTCAGTTCAACATTTTTTAGATAAATAAATTCTCTTTTTTCTTCCCAGTCATCTTTGATTTTTAAATCAACACGTATTTTTCTTCCGACGGATTGGATATTCAATAAAATAAATATATATATTAAAATTATAAAATTAAATTTAATCATCTGAAATTTAGAAAATTAAAGCTGCATTTTTTGTTTTTTCATTAGAAAATGGCAAACTTTAATAATATTTTTTAATCATTTTTCGCATAAAGGAGTATCAACTTTGGTTAGCTGACTTTTGCGGACGCGTACATGAAAACCGACACTTACGTTCCGGAAGTTGGGGACCCGAAATGAATTTTTAAAAATTATGTAAAAGCCATCTTTAGTTAAAAGACCTTCTCTACAAATTTTTTACATCTGATTTGGCATCTGATCTGGTTATGAAAAAATCAGGATCTAACGAAAAGCCGGGAGTCACAAAGGTTGAGAGAACAAGATCTGGATAGACATATAGGCGCGTCATTACAGGATTTACTCTTGAAGAATATTAAAATTGAAGTCTTATCCTACGTTATACGTATAATATGAGACTTAAACATAAATATTTCTTATTTTTTAAAGTTTAATTAAAGTAAAGCAGCTGGGCTATAGCTATTTCTCTCCTTTAGCTAGAGCAAAAGGTTATTCGGCGGCTGGGAGCGAACCAGCATCTTCAGTAGACCGGACTGATGTGTTAGCCATTACACCACGCCGCCTACTGCTCAGCCTTAGGAAATTAATAGCTATATGCTTTACACCTCCATCCCCAGGGAAGACTGTCCCTAGTCTTCTTATCTGCCCTCTTCCCGCTTTTTCTCTCACCTGCGGGGCAAACTAAATCATCGCCTTCTCTGGCGGAATTTCATTTCTCTAACCCAGGGCCTATGGGATGGATCGTCATTCGTTCAGCGTTCGCTGAACCATCCGGTGCTACCAGTAAAATAGAACCCTTCTCCTAAATAGCTATGCGCCGAAGCGGTGGGCCCTTTCCAGATATTACAGGATACAAGGGGAGAGGATGTGATCGGGACAATCCTAGAAGACCTTCGGGGTTGATCAAGTCCCTTAGACTCTTCCCTAACACCGAACACACCTAAGTGATAAAGATCTTTATTCACAAACTAGGAAATGTGGACAATAATATAATCGCTAGCTAGCACATAATAATAATAAATATAAATTGAATATAACTGAACCGTGTATAACTGTTTGTAAATTGTTTAAATAAACATTTAAGTGGGAGGGACAATAGACTAATGGATTGTTAAATAATGTGAACGGAAATATAATTGAACAAAGTCCTTAGGGTAAAGTCTTCAAGCTCAATATTTCATAGGAAAGGACCTTAGAGTCCTACACAAAGACCGTTTTTTCTTGCGATGAAACTGTTCCATGACGATTTCTGAATCTCATGTTATAGACATATTTTAAATAAATATTCTAAATAAAAATATGTATTCAATTCTTTTGCCTCTATTCTACAAGGCATTCTTACAATTAAATCCTTAACGTCGGAACTTTTATTTCTGTAATTATTCGCTCGTTTTGATTAAATTAATGAATATGAATAACGAATAATTATATTTTTAATATCAAATTTCAGATGATTAAATTGAATTTTATCGTTTTCATATTTTTAATTATATTTTTGAATATTCAATGCGACGGGAAACTCATTCATGTTGAAGTGAAAATTAGAGATGATTGGGAGGAAAAAAGAGAATTTATTTATTTAAAAAATGTTGAAATAAAGGATCGTTTTGTAGTGAAAGTAAATGAAAGAATAGTAATCAACATGATAGTTTTAATAAAAATATAGAGGGATATTTGCGTTCGATTGAAGCAAATCTATATAAAAATATGTTTGAAGTTGAAATAAGTGATAAATCAGAATATATTCCAGCTGATCAATTAAAAAAGAAAATTTTGATTGAAATTACTAATTATGAAATAATTCAAAATTTTCTGCCTGGGGGAATTTTCTGCCTCTATATTTTCATTTGACTAAAAAATTTACCTTGATAATTATAGGTGGAATAATTGAAGTTAATAAGCGATTGTGTTTCAATTGTAGAGTTCCACAAACAAAAAAGTGGTATAATTTTATAAAAGAACATTACTTATGCCAACAATGTGGCAAATATAAACACAAATATGGAAAGTTTAGATCAAAAGAATTATGGTTTAAGGTTACAAAGGTTACCTTTATCAATATTTGGGAAGATTTTTTAAAAATTCATTCTAGAAAACATTTCATTTTATTTATTGAAAACGTTCTAACAGTCATAGCTCTGTACAAAACTGGAATAAAAAATTTCTTTAGCGAAAGATTATATTTTTTGCAAAATCCTTTATAGCTAGTGAGAGCAATTTTATTTCATCATCCCCTAAAGATTAAAAAAACAGCCTTACTTCTGTTTTACGTTGATTTCGAGGTGTCAGGTCTCGAAGTTGGGTAATGATATAATTTTCGCCTTAACCTTGAAATTGTCTGAGAACTTTCAATATATTTCAGAATAAGCTAAATAAACATATATTAAAAATATTTGGAGTTTGTAATCTGCAAACCATATTATGATAATTTAGGGGTGAACTCATAATTTTGTGACAAAGTTTTTATTAGATTTTAACTAAACATTCTAAATGAAAGAGAACATTTCAAAGAAAAAATCTACTTTACATAAGTACTATTTATTTAATATCTTAGCGAATCACATCTGATCGAAGTTGTTTTATTTGCGGCACAACAAAAACATCAAGGTGGTACCGTCACACTAAACCTGAACAATATATATGTAATGCCTGTTACAAAAGACAACAAAAAATAAAGAATGCAAATTAGATTTCAAAAAACTATTTGAATATAAACATAAAATTTATAACAAATTATGCACATCATATTTATGCATATGTATGATATGCATATAATACATGTAAAAAATAAAGGTAAGGGTTTACTTATCAACACATCAAAACACGTGTTTTCTTGTCTAAAAACATGTGTGGTTTTTTTGTTTGTTTTTTTTCTTGTCTAAAAACATGTGTGGCGATAAAAGATCAGTAGAAAAGTACTCAAAATGGTCCACTTTTGCATTTTTCCCGGATTCTCAGACCCCTGAAAATCCGAGAACCACAGGGGGAACCAGCTGTTTTATGGATCTAAAATTCGATTATACAAATGATACCTCATTCGAAAGAGCTCGCCGAGCTTATTCGAATGACACCAAAATCAGCTCGATTTACTGATTCTGAACAAAGTTTTGACCAACAGAATCTTCGCTGGAAAACAGTTTTTGTGCTGCTGCGGAGGGTAGGCCGGGCATGGTCTTCGCTACACGATGACCTTGCTTCGCTGCGGTCGTGCTCGCTTCGCTCGCGGCGACTGTAGCGAAGCGGCGGCCGTCGTTCCGCCCGGCATGTCCGGCTTCCTCCGCAGCAGCAAATACATTATGTGGAAAGGGTAAAAACAAGCGGTCATAACTTTGTCAAATCAGGTCGGATTTCGTTGATTTCGGTGTCATTCTCATTCGACTCAGCTCTCCTAGACGAATCGTATGTGTTGATAAGGTAAACCCTAGCCAAAATAAAAAATAACTATATTAAATTTAACTCTTTCTGAATCCCAAATAAATTTTTAAATGTTTCCCAGCATATCGATATATTCTTTCAATCACTTTTAGAATTTCAACATAACATGGTCTTTGTGATATTTATTCTTTTGTATTTTTTTTATTTTTAAAGTACATTATTTCTTTTTATTTTTATAAAATCTAGTCTGTAAATTTAACTTAAAGTGCATAATTTGAAAAACGCCGCAAAAAGCGATTTTATTAATAGAGAATTTTATAAGAGCATACATAAATGCACTTTTCAATTTTTGACTATCATATGAATGTCTAATTATATTGGCAAAGGACATTGTAGCATGTAATGCGTCCTCGTTTTGATTTTAAGATTACGATGGAGCATTATAAACAAGAGGTTAATTTTTTGCGAGGGATGGAGTGAAATTTTTAGAGAGAAGCGATTCTTTTAGTGAGAAGCGTCTCCCCTTAACTCCCCTTATCCCCCCCCTCCCCATTATTTTATTAATAAGATTTATTTTTCTTAAAAATTAAAAACATAAGAAGGACCATATTAATTTTTAATTCATTTTCTGGACCGTAAGCGTGTTGTTGTATGCCATGTTATATGTCAAAAGTGTTGTGTATGCCATTGTATATGCCAAAAAAGAGGATCAATTCTTATGCCAAAAATACCTTAAATATTCATGTCATTATGTATGAGTTTGAATTTAAAGGGTGATCAAAAGGCGAAAGGAGCAGGATTCTCATAACTCGTCTTATAAACTAAGGTCGATGATTCCGGTTGACATTATCCCTTACCTTCAAGGATCCCGTCAAGATTTCATTTACCTATATTTTTTACTTAAAAAATTTTTCAATATTTTAGATGAATATTTTAACATATTTACTCTATTTATTCATTTTTCATGGATTAAATTCGCATATTAAATGCGTCAGGAATTATTATTATATACATATTGAAGGCACTATTAAAAATTATATAACAATCAATGGGAATAAAATTATAATGGAAAAAGACAAGAAAAGCCCTCAAAATCTTTTAAAAACAAACGATGTTGAAATTCATTTGGATGGAAATTATACCGGCATTTCGAAGTTAAATAGGCAATATAATTTCGAGCAAGTATATGAAGAATTACCTTCACTAAAAGAAACCATAGCTAAATGTCATGTTACGCTAAATGAAATAATATTAGGCTCAACGAACTATATTGAGGTAATTAGTTTTGATTATTACGCAAGCATATACCTTATTTATTCTAATAGAATGGCCGCCATCTATTTTTCGATAACCCAAAAAATTGTCATTCAATTGGAGGGGCCATTCAAATGGAGGTGGCCATTCTATTTTTCATAAGTTAAAAATAGAGATTAATTGAAACGAATATTCGACCTAATATCTTCCGAATCCGAAATTTTACCGAATTTTTTTGTTGTAATTCGATATTTTAAATTTGTCTGTGTATTTTCTCTCAGTTTCACTATAAAACTCATAAGTCTTATGCCTGCCTGGCTAATAAGTCAAATTTTGATTAACATCGAAGTCAAAAA